TTGGTCTGCAAGGAGATCAAATCAGTCAAACCTAAAGGAAATTAAACCCTGGCTGTTTTTTGGAAGGATAGATATCAAAGCTCAAGCTCAAATACTTTGAGAATGAGAAGAGAGGACTCAATGGAAAAGAGTCTGATGTTGAAAAGATTGAAGGCAAAAGGACAGCAGAGAATGAGATTGTTAGAGTGTTGTCAATGCGCTGGGCATGGGTTTGGGCAGACCTGTAGAGATGGTGAAGGATAGGAAGGCCTGGAGTGCTGTGGTCCGTGGGGTTATGGAGAGTTGGGTATGATTGAGCGACTGAACAACAACATGTAGAATGACTGTAGTGCTTCAACATTAAATAAAAAACAAATATGTCACAGCATTCTTAGGGATTGTGTCCTCAGGGAATCGAACCACGTGACCATCACTACAGACACCTGTCAGTTTGGCTGTGTGTGTGGGAATCTTCCGTCCCAAGTGGCCTAGGGGTGGTTGATGCAGGAGGACTTAAAACACAACATAAACTGGCTGGAACCTGAGGGCAGCTTGCTCTTAATGGACAATGTGGCTACCAAGGCCCACATCAATCGGCAAGGGGGCACTCTCTCTAGGTCCCTTATGCAAGAGGCAGAAGAGCTGTGCCGCTGGGCAGAGAAGCACTTCCTTTCCATCAGGGTGGACCACATTTTGGGAATGTCAAATGTGCAGGTGGACTGGCTCAGCAAGGCCACACTCAAGTATTATTTGCTTGTTCTCTTTGAGATCTAATAAATAGTAGATTTCCTCTATTGCTGGACTGTTAATAATGCCTCTTTTATGGATAAATGAATACAATGTGAATTTGAGGTTGATACTGATGATCTTAAAAGGAAACCAGTTCTAGGAAAAGCATTGCATTCTAGAACTTCTCAATACTTTAAAAATTAGGGTAAATGTGTTATATTGTATTCATTGGTTTGTTTATTTGTAACATTTGTAACATTTCTAGATTTATTTGTAACATTTCTAGAGTGTAACACGACACTCTACACTGGTTCATTGTAATGGATCTATAAACAAGATAAGCAAATATTTACAACATCAGAAATATTCATCATAATGTCACCATCCACTAGGGAGAGGCAAAAGTTAACATTTTCAAAGGTATTCTCTCTAGGTTGTTTTTCATATCCCTACAGTATCTGATCAAGGAGGAAGTATACTGTTCCACACATTCCAAAATAGTTACACCTACCATTACATAGAAACAGATTGTGGGCAACATAGAATTGGTTCTTAGTTTATTTTAAATTCATTGTTTTATCATAAAATAAAATAAAACACAGAACAGTAAAACAAACAAAACGAAACAAAACATACATTCAACTCTAACAGCAACAAAAAAAAAAGAAAAAAATAGTGTACAAAAAGGAGGAAAAAGTGGTCAATTAAATTTAACAGTTAACATATACCCTGGCTGACTGCTAAAAGAAAAGTAAGAACAATAAATTCTCCTCTCCTTTTACACACAGACACACAGACAGACAGACACAAAGAAAAGAAGAAGAAAAAGCAGTTAACAGATTGAGCTAAGCCTTGTCAAGACCAAGAGAAGCAGAAGTTTCAAAAGTAAGCAACTACCAAAAACAAAAAGAGGGGGGGAAAAACCTTGGTTAAAAACAATTAACTTTTACTAAGCCAAAAAATAGAGTTTATGTAAATGTATTATTCAAATTATTGGAAATCTAGCCTGATAAACTCTCAAGATCAGGCAAGTTTCCATTTTTTTCTGCCATGCACTTAACATCGTATCATGTTCTGCAACTGTACAGGAAGAAAGAAAAATGATATTGTTTTCATTCCTAGTTTTCTGTTCCAACTCAATTTATGATAAAAACTAATATTGGCTATTTTAGATATGCAGGCAATCATTTATGTTCTGCCTGAAAAATTTAAATACCTTAATATTATTGATGTCATAAATTATTTGCCTGTTGCAAATTGGGTATTATTGCCTTAATTTTTCCATTTTAATCAAGATGGTTACACTGTATTTAACAAATATGTTTGCCTGTAAATTTAGGTTAGTGTTAAATCAGGATAGAATTTGGCTCTTGTAAGTCATTTGCTTTGTTTGTCATTGTACTTAAATATCTAAATTGTAATTTAGTTGCTCATTAGTGATAGTAATTGTTTATATCTTGCTAAATAGACTGTGATCACTGAAAATGAAATTTGCATGTGTTAGAGTTATTTCATGGATGGTAAATGCATCTAAATAATTTATATTTTAAATAAGCACCTTGCTGTGGTTAGTGGTATTTTGATGGTTATTATGTGTCCCTAATGTAATTAGGGAGCAGATTTTCCTGTCATTAAGTAAATGTAAGTGAATTTAATGGATGATTGCAGGTGCTACTACAGATAGTTTTCTCTAGCATAATATTGAGTCCTGCATTCAGTTTAATTACTTTCTATTTTAAAATTCTAACTGTTTTTACTAGTGACATACATACATACATACTACACACACACACACACACACACATCTAATATTAAAAAGAAAGCACAGTTTAACTTATTAAGTATTACAGAAGAAAAGTTGTTTCCTGCTAGCAATGGTTAGTAAGTAACACATAATTAACTTTTATTCCTTTGGGGTTTGATAAAGTTCAGCTTCTTTTTCAGTTGAGTTTTTGGTTCTGAATTTTCTCTCTCTGGACTGAATGGTAACATTGTGCCATTATTATTACAAAACCGATTATTAAATTACATAAAACCAAGGAAAAAACAACGTTACTAAATTCAGGAGCTGTGTTTTTTCTCATTTTAACAATATCACAGCATGATCATAGGCTGAAATTGTTGTCATTACAATGTACCTAAGTATAACACACCAGTAAAAAGCATTTGTTGGCGATTTCAAGGAGAAAAGATAAAACAAAATTTTCTGTGTATTTGAAACTATTATGTTAAACAGTTTGTTGATTTTAAACAGTTCACTCTATCTTGTCTCACAGTATTTGTGACTGTGTGGCTTTTGATATTTGATAACACCTGGACACCTTTTACATTTTATCTTCAGAAGCCCATTTAAGGGTTGAGCAGAGGGAACATATGCATTTGTCATTCAGGAACAGTTGCATAAGTGTTCCATTTATATTTCTGCAAATGTGACATTCTGGTTAGGGGGCACTCAAACAGCAAAGCACAGAATTCAGATCAACCAATCAGCACACAGGACATGCACCTCCACAAAACATGCAGTTGGGATTTGCAGGTGTGCATGTCAGCCCGCATGCAGCCTTTTGCAATCTATGTCTACCCATGAATACCTTTGTAGCATAGCTATGTGGCAATGGCTACGGGCAGTTGCAGAAAACTTTAAATCAGCCTTTAGCCATGCTTTCCTTCTTTTATTGACCTATATTTCTCTTTTATTGCCAACATTTTCTAGGTAATATTATATGTAATATATGTTGTAAAACAACAAAAGCACAGCTGAAACTTGAAAGCATCTCAACCACAGAACCTATCATTTTATAGCACTTCCAAGAGATACCAGTAATACTCTTTTGAAACTTGGCTATTTCAATGTGCTAGATATGGCATAAAGTAGTGGCTCCCAACCTTTTGGGCACCGGGGACTAGTTCTGTGAAGAGGCTTTTCCGCAGACTGGAGGGGGTGTGGTTTTGCATGCTGCCTGCATCCTGCAGATGGGGCTTTGCTTGTTTGTGTGGCCCAGTTCCTGGCATGCCACGGACCACGGTTTGGGGACCCCTGGGTGAAAGGACAGTGAGTCACCATTTAATTGGTTGCCTGAACTTTTTCTCTTAGCAGCATGATTGAACTGAGCATCTTTGCTATCAGACGAGTGGCAAGAGAAATGAGCAGGCTGGGTGGCCGTTAGCTTCCTCTCGTTGCCTCTTTCTCCAGAGCCATCTTCCTTAATAGTGGCAGTTGGAAAATGTATGGACCTCAATTCCCTTGGAATCCTGGGAATTGAAGTCCATCCATCTTCAAGTTGCCACAATTGAGCAAGACTGCTCTAGAGTCTAGACCAGGGGTCCCCAAACTTGGCAACTTGAAGACTTATGGACTTCAACTCCCAGAATACCTTAGCTAGCTATGCTGGCTGAGGTATTCTGGGAGTTGAAGTCTATAAATCTTAAAGTTACCAAGTTTGGAGACCTCTGGTCTAGACCAAAATAATTTTATATTGCCTCAATAAGTGATGTCCAAGAGGAGAGCATGCTTTCTCCAGTTCTTCCTGACAGAAAAAGGGAAGGATGAGAAATTGCTTGGATGGTATTTTATGGAATTTAAAACGACTAAGTCCATGACACAAATTGCACAATAGGAGATCCAGTCCAGGATGCCTTTAGCTCACTGTATCACCAGGAACCAGAATTTAGCAGGCCCAGATTTATTTATTTTTTAAAGGTAGGTAACGCCACTTTATAACTCAATTTGATGAGATTAAAAATTTAAATAGGATTAAAATGTGTGGTTTATAATTTACCCAGTTGTGAGGTGTGGGATCGACTGACCCTGCAGTCCTTGCCCACCCATCCCTCTCCGCACCTCAATTAGCCGGCATCGAGGGTGAGCTTGGCTGTGGGGCCCGGGTTTCGACTAAGCCCACTCCTCGCTGCACCGGCGGTCGGGAGAGCCGGCCAAGGGGTTCCGGGCCCTTCTTTGGCTTCCGATCGGAGCAGCCTTTTTGCAATGGCCTTGCAGCAATTGCGCTCTTCAACCGAGGAAATATTTCCCCAAAGGGAGGGGGGACGGCGGCATGTAACGAAGGCATGGCGAAAGTTTTTGGCGCGTTGTGTAAAATACCCGAAGCAACATTACTATTATTACTATTACTATTATTATTATTATTATATTATTCTGTGGAAAGTTGGGGCGATTGATGATGCGGCGGCACGTGGCACCTCCCAATTCTCCGCGCTTCGAATCTCTCCTCACAACGCCTTTCCCCACTCGCTTGCGTGCGAGCCGGCGGCTCAAATGGGCTGGGTCCGGTCGTCTCCTCCCTGCCTTTCCTTCCTTCCTTTTTTTTTTTTAAATGCCCAGTCTCGGGCGGGAGCTCAGGCTGTGGACTCACCGCTAGACGCCGAGGTGGCTGCGTGCTTTGCTGCTTGGCAGGTATCTCCTCCCCCCGCCCCCCCAACCTTCTGGCGCGCCGCCCGCTTGGTGAAGCGGGCTAAGACCGGCGAAAGGAGTAGGGTGGACGGCATGGCTGGTGAGGGTCAGGCCAGGGGTCTCCAACCTTGGCCACTTGAAGCCTGGAGGACGTCCCCCAGGCTTCAAGTGGCCAAGGTTGGAGAGACCCACGATATATTGGCAGCGACGCCGCAATTGCGCTGCTGGCTTTCTTCTTCTGGGCCCCTTTACTGGCGGGAAGAGGAAGCAGGAAGACGAGTAGTTTCACTGCCCATAGAAAGAAGCAGGATCCCATGGGAGATATTGTCGCCTCCCTTCAATGTAGCTGACAGTCACTCTAGTGGATTGGCGTTGCCAAGCCTTTGCTGTTAAAAATCAAGCCGCCCTGCAATCCTCTCCTCTAATTGAACGTCCGTCGCCCCTTTTTCATTTTCTCTCTTCCCCTGCCCTCTTTTCCGCTCAAGGCTTGCCAACGTTTCTAAATTATCATAAATACACTATGCTTCTTTCTCATTAGGGCGGCTGTGTGCGGAGATTTCCTCTTCTGGAGTCGTTCTCCCTCCCCGCCCTCTATTTCTGCTGATTTTGGCATTCCCTGTTTCCAATGGTAAAGTTTCCGCCAGATCGAGTGACTTTGAAAAGTAAGTTACGCTTTAAAAAAAAGAAAAAAAGAAAAAAAGAAAAAAACCAACTCCTTTAGTAAAACTCAGTAAGTTGGAATTGGGTTAATGCTGACCAGATATCCCTGCTTGGTTTTCCTAATTAAACAGCTGGCTTTTAATGTTTTAAGTCAAATTGCAACTCACAGATATTTAATAACACTGGATGGTTTACTTGGAGCAAATATGTGGTGCTTAGTGGCAGCTGTTGTATAGTAAGAACCAAGCAGATGATGAATTCAAAATTCAGGCTTAAGAATATTTTTCCTAGCCATAAAATGTGATTAGGTAAATTACAGTTGTAAAAATATATATTTAAAATTTAGAGTTTAATTCCATAGATATGGAATGTTACAGTGTGTATTATCTTTGATCTCTTATAAGGAATGTTTGAAGCAATAATTATGCAATAGATTATTATATTTTAATTCTGTCCCAATAGAAATAATTCAGGAAAAGATTAACACATGAACTTTGAGTGTCCTCTTAGAGATTAGCAGCCAGTGGCACCATTGTAGAAAAGGCCCTGCAGATACTTCCCAAGTTCTATGTCCTTAGCTAAGTGTTTCTCAACTTTGACAACTTAAGCTGTGTTGATTTCAACTCTCAGAATTTCTCATCTAGCATTGTTGAAGTCAGCCATTTTACTTCCTCCAGTGTTACGGTGGTTACTTTTTGCATAAGTAGAGATTTCTTTGACATTTAAGTTTGAAGAGGGCACTACTAAATTTAGTTAAGCTTCCCCAGTTAAAAAGTAGACCAGGAGACAATAAATACTTGGGTCTTTCATTCTAAATGAGGTTGTTGGATCAGCTGGCACAAAAACAGCCAGGGAAGTGATTCAAGCCTGGGAACCTTCGTTTTGAAGGTTCAAAACTTCAATCAACAGGAGCGCTGATTTACCTCCAACTTATTAAGTACTTAGGATGTAAGGGCTCAGCAGCACAAAGAAACTTACTAGTCAGCCATCAACTCCTCAATCTACATCTTAAAAGCTGACAGGCACCATACAAAGAACAGCCCAAAAAGCATACCAAGAAGTTCCCTGTGGATGGGCTCCAGCATGACTCTGAAAGCTCAGAGGACAAAACTTCTTCGCCCGGTGATCAACCCAGACTGGATCCTACAACATTATCCTGGGACATATATATAAATATAGTGGATACAGTCAGGTGGTTAATATAAGATATAAATCTATACATATTCTATTCTATCCTAAAAGGAAAATGACCCTGAATTTAAAAGTTTCCTGTAGATAGATAGATGATAGGTAGGTAGGTAGGTAGGTAGGTAGATAGAGTTGTTGGAAGAAATGTCCATTTGGGTTCAGTTCCAAGTGGGAAGAAAGACACTGATAACATGGAGAGTGCCTGGAAGGATGGTTTAATGGTGGACAGGACCACACGGGTTTGAAGTGCTGGGTAAGACTCTCTCTCTCTCTCTCTCTCTCTCTTTCTCTTTCTCTCTCTCACTCTCTCATTCACTCACTCACTCACTCACTCACTCACTCTTGGGCCTTTGAGCTTCTTGTTCTGGTAGCAAGGGCAGATATCCTATTGGCTGCTGTAGGGAACCATGTGCAAATCCTAGTTTGTCTGAAATAAGTTTGGTTGAACTGTGGGCTGATGTGATGCCCCAGGGATTTCTCAATGCAGGGAGCCCTGCTGTTAAATGGGTAGGGGGCTAGTCCTGAGAGCCATGTCTTAATCCATCACCCTGGAGCTGAAGTGGGGGGCAGGGAGATGCAGGGAGATGCTTTGTCTCTAAAAACATGTTTCTTCTTTTCTCATATAGGGAAATATAATATTCTGCCCTTTTAATATTTCCTAGAATATTTCATTCTTTTAGGAGAGAGGTGAGTGCTAACTTTCTACACAGTATTCTCAATCCTATCCTTGAAATTAGCCACCCAATAAAATGTTTATATATGTCACACATGAATACACATATGTGTGCACCTCCACTTGTTAAAGACTGCTTCAAAAAGGGGCAGGACTGGGCAAAATATTAATAGTAATTATAATAGGAGACCACATAGTCCTCGATTTACAACAGTTTGCATAGTGACTGTTCAAAGTTACAATAGCACTGAAAAAAGTGGCCTAGAACCATTTTTCACACTTAAGACCTTTATAGCATCCCCATGGTCATGTGATTTACATACAGATATTTGACCACTGACTCACATTTGTGATGTTTGCAGTGTCCAATATGATCACCTTTTACAACCTTCTGAAAAGCAAAGTCAATGGGGAAGCCAGATTCACTAAACAACCATGTTACTAATTTAATAAATGCAGTTATTCACTTAATACATTTGGCAAGAAAAGTCGTAAAGTGGGGCAAAACTCACTTAACAAGTTTCTCACTTAGCAACATAAATTTTGGGCTCAGTGGTGGTTGGAAGTTGAGGACTATCTTTAAATGATTCCTTCTCTCTGTGCATCAAGCACTATCTCACACATGCACAAATCACTTGCACCCAGACAAATACACAGAAAGGAAAAATAGGATTAATAGAGGAAAAATTAGCTTGATTGGAATGATAAGAAAAAATAGAAACAGAGAAAAACTGAGCAGAGATTATTCAGGAGAAGTGATAGCTGGATAAGGAAAGAAAAGGAAATCCTGTTGAAACATTAAATTTAACTAGGTCTGCATTCTGAACTCACCTATCTCAAATTGGCTAACCTTCAAAATTATTTATGCTTGAGATTCTTCAGCCCTTCCAAACTCTTGTCCACTTCTTACTTTTCAATAGATATTTCAGTTAATTATTTGGAAGGAAAAAATATCCTACTATAAAGAGTGAATGTGCTGAAAAGAGATTGGAATTATTGTTATGTGGAAGTATAGGGTTGTGCAAAAATGTATGAATGCATTAACAAAATTTCATAGCCATAATGTTGGTACTGTACTTGTTTAATATTATACATTTTTCTATTATTGTGAAGACATAACAATACCTTTTGACCCTTCCCAGTTAATAGGTTAGTTATATTTGTAATAAGTGCATTTTAATCTAATGGAATCCCCAAGGAATTTAAGTATTGAAGTGAAGCATAAATATTTTCCATTTAGCTGACTCTTCAAAAAATTTCACAAACTCAAGGGAAAATTTGATATAAACAAAGTTTCATGCTGCTTTCTTTTCAGATTGTATTTGATGATAGTCCAATAGGAGACTGGAGGAATTTAAAATGTACAGTACATTAAATTTTTAGAGTTCCATTATGATATGGATAGAAAGATAGAAAAAGCCAAACTTCTGCATTGGAAAACTGCCTATTGTGCAGATATCTTGTTACATAATTCAGTGTTACCATTTATTGCTGGGCTGAAAAGGATGAAAGTCTACAATGGGATCTCTTAAATTGTTTAGCTTGTTTTTTTTCCCTTTCTTTTTTCCTTTTACCTGATGGAAATAATACAGTTTTGCTTCAGATAAAGAAAGAAATTCTGTGCTCCCACAAAATATATAATGGATGTACCATTCCATGCCCAAGTGCTGATCAGAGATAGTACTGAGATTATAGAATAAGATCAAATATCAGTTTACAAAAATAGTTTTAAAAATATTTTTTAAATGCAGGATTCCTAAAGAGATTACATTTTAGAATATTTAGATCTTCGGATGTCTGCTTTTTAAAATCAATGTGTGTTTTAATATTTAAATATTTTTAATTACCATATTTTGTATTTCTATGCAGTTGATTTGTATTTTATATTTGTTTGCTTTAGAATAAAGTTTTATTGTCACTACTCCAAACCTCTGTTGGGAATAAATGGAATATAATTGGATTTCATGTTTAAATAAAACTATTAAAAAACAAATGTCATTATTTTACAAAATAAAGAGGCCAACAGTTCTATGCAGCTGAATAGTTTTATGCTTTTCAGAGGTTCTGATAAAATTAGTAAAGGGATCATTTTTATTAACCAAAAGTAATACTATTTTAGGGTTCATATCATTTGTTTTAAATCAGTTTATCATCAAACCGTGGATTGAAGCCATGGCAAGGGGGTTGTGAGCAAATTTGAGAAGATTCAAGTTTCTAGGTCTCAAACAAGCTTGAAATGTGGATGGACAAGGAGTACAGCATCTTCAGAGCTACCATTCACAGGTCAAGAAGGAGGAAATATGTCCAGATTGTTCATAAGCGAGGTGCAGGTTCGGTTTATGCTCAGCTGCCTCTGAACTTCCAAGAAGTATGGCACAGAACAGATTACCTTCAACTCTAAAGATGCAAGCCACAAGATGCTAGTGAAACATCAGAAGGCCTCTTGGTGAGAAGTTTATCATCCTTGGACTGATGTTGTCTGTGAAAGCCTACCTTGATGTATTTACCTTCTGAGCCGTAGAAAGAGTTGTGCCAGGTTCACCCATTTGAATAATTCTGGTATTAGTTCACTAGGTGACACATTGCTCACTGTAACATTATTCCTTTGAAGACGGTGATGAAATATAAAACACTTCATGTTATCTCTAATAATGATACCATTTTAGCAACTGTTTACACACACACACGCACACACACACACACACACACACACAATTTGGGAATTCTGGGAGTTCAAATTGCCAAGGTTGAGAAAACCTGTTCTAAAGGGTGGGCCTATTGAATCAAACCAGGTTAGCATGCACATGTGCAAAATTAATATGGAGCAACATTTGCAGTCCTTTGAATCTTCTTTTCAATTTTTTGATAATAGTTAATGCAGGTAAATTTAAACAATTTCTCTTGTATTTTAAAAAAATGCTCTTATATAAAGAGAAAGGAAAAATAACCAGATACAAGATTAAAAGAAAAAAGAAAAATTAATCCAAAACCAAAAAACCCCAGTGTTAAAACAAATATGTACGTTGAGAAATCTAAAAAATAACAAACCAAGATGACCTCATTTTTAGTTAACTTATATTAAATAACATTTATAGCATGGTCTAGTAGAACATTTTGTTCAAAAATAAATTATTTCTTCTGGATTCGCTTTAAGAATTTCTGATCGGACATTATTATAGGCAGCGTGACTCTCTGTGTGTCGAGATAATTGTATAGAATTAAGTTAAAAAAGGAAAGGACCTTAGGGATTGTTATAATACTGCCTTGGTCAAAAGCAGCTCTTTGTTATTAGTATTTCCTAGCTTTTGCACTGCGAGTAACGAGCTATTCAAGTGGAGGTTTTTGCTATTATAGTCATTATAAATCACCACCTTTAAGCAGTCACTCTGCTGTCATTGAAAATGTAGCTGAATCTTTTGTAACGTCAAATACAGCACAATGGCTTGTAATGGCACATGAGCTTATTACTTGCTGGTAATAAGCTGTCAGGATAGATGATGATTTAAATATATCTATTTCCTCCTGACAAGTGATAGACTCTCAAATATTTCTGCCGATTTTCACAAATTTCTTGGTGTATGTTAACCACAAAATGTGAATTGAATTTCTGCTTTATTTTATGTGCTAAAAGCAGGCCAGTAGTATTTTTTAAAGTGTTTATCAGACAGAGGCAACAATTGTTATGTTTATTAGCAGTATAAAAACAAAACAATAGAAATAAATTACAGAAGCTGTTTTTTTAGCAATCAAAAAGGGTTTCATGAAATGACACCAGATGTCCCTTATGGCTTCTTTTGTCTCAAATATATTCCTTATGAATCTTAATATAATGCACGAGAGGTAATTTAGACAATAGTTCTCTGGAAAATAAAGGATTTATTTAACATACACAAAAAGCTTTGTTTTTCACAAAGAAATACCCATTAGGATTAAATTAATCTAACTGCCTCATGTGAGAAAATGAGGATCTGTAACAAATTTTAGGTTTTGTTCCTCCTTTTGTTTTAAAATGCTTTATTATCTTTAAATAATCAAAAAGTTGGCAGGATTAACAGACATTTTATAAAGAGAAAGTCTCTTTTTGATAGAAATTATTCCCACATAAGTGTGCTTAGACTTGCAACTTGGGTATAAGGTCATTTGAACTTAATGTGTTGTTATTAAGTTATTGTCAGCAGAGAGCGCTGATCCCAAACAGCTATTTTGATCCCACATATCAACAATGGCAATTGGGACTGAAGTTTCCATTTCTAAGTGATGCAGTCATAAAACATAACTGCATTGCTTAGCAATGGCAATCCCTGCAGTTCGGGTTGTCATTATTTAAAAAAATCCTGTGGTCTTTAGGTGAGGCAACTTCCTGCTGACTATCCACAACCATGTCAGCGGGAGCGCTGACAGGAAGTTGAAAAATCTGGGTGGCTTGCAAGCAGGTTGGCAAATAGTGGCTGCTGTCATGTGGGGATAAGGGCAAGAGAGGTGTGGCAAGGGTGCGGGGGTGAGTGAGTGTGTGAGGGCCACAAAGAATACGTGGAGGTGTAAGGAAGGGACAGGGAGAGTGGAAGGGAAGCATGGCAAGGCTGCTGGCAGGGGAGTTTGCAAATGGCAAACATGATAGTAAAGCATTGAAACTGGTCATAAGAGTGAATCAGTTGCCAAGTGCTCGGATTTCGATCATGTGACCATGGGGGTGCTGGATGGCCCAAATTCTGGGGACTAGTCATAATCACCATTCATTCAGTGCCATCATAACTTTGCTTGAATATTTATAAGTTTAATGACTGCCTCGTTTAGCGACAGTTCACAATTATGACAGTGATGAAAAAGTCCTCACAAAGGAAACTACCTGTACTATCTGTCCAACAAAATCAAACACCAACTGTAGGCATTTTTTTTAAATACCTCTTTGGTCATGTAAATACAGATAATCCTAAAACAAACTCTTGCAAATAGAAATCCCTTCTGCTTCCTGCTACCTATTGGCAGCCATGATTTCTAACAAAATACTGAAAATAATTTATCATCATATATTTAACATATTTAGTTATTTTTCTGTATATTTAACATACTCAGATATTTTAACTGTTCATCATAGAATTAGTTTTCTGGGTCCTTTGTGTTGTTGTTCGCTGGCAGCAGGTGTGGTTGGCTGAGGTCTTGGAGAGCGAGGACTCAGATGAGGGGCCTGTGTGTGATGCAGGGATGGGGCCAGGACCATCAGGGAGTGGAATGCTGCCTTCGGAGATTGTGGAGGCTGGCAGCAGTGATGGAAGAGAGCAGCCGGTGCCCAGTGCGCAGGGCTGCTCGAAGGAAAGAGCAGCTGCAGCAGCACGGACGATTCGGGAGTAAGGCTGCAAGGTAATGGCCCCTCCCTTAAGAGATAAAAGCTAGCTGAGAAACTGGAGTTCTTTGCAGAAAGCAGAGAAGTTTTTGCACTCAAGCCTGGTGGACGTTCGGAATATCTTGGTTGGTGTTTGGAGACTCTTTGTGTTTGAAATATTTCTTAGTAACTTTATCTTGTGTTCTTGGCACCTTGCACAACTTTGGCAAGGCTCGTTCTTATCAGAGACAATTACTTTGAAACAGCCTTTTAACTGTGAAGGAACGGAATTCGTAAAGAATCATTAAAAGGTTTGCTGTTACCTCTGTTTCGTGTTGGTTTCCTTGGAACAAGGTTTAGGTCAGAACAGGTAATAATTTATATGACTTAGAACAAATAGCCCTAAGATTGTATGTAATATGGTAATTTGTGTTTGTAAAGTTTGTATATGCGGGGCGTTTACAGTATTTTAAAATCATTTACAAGTGGTCCTCAACTTACAACAGTTCATTTAGTGACTGTTCGAAGTTACAACAGCACTGAAAAAGTGACTTATGATTGTTTTTCACACTTACGACCAATGCAGCATCCCTATGGTCATGTGATCAAAATTCAGATACTTGGTAAGAGACTCATGATGATTGTAATATCCTGGGGTCATGTGATCACCTTTTGTGACCTTCTGGCAAACAAAATCAATGTTACTAACTTAACAACTGCAGTGATTCACTTTACTATGGTAAGAAATGTCATAAAATCAGGCAAAATTCACTTAACAACTGTCTCACTTAGCAACATATTTTAATGGACATTTGCTGACACTGGGATTAAAAAGTTGACGTTATGGATTTGCCTATAGACAAGGGATGGGATATAGGATGAAAATTTACTTTTTTAACCTTATACGGGATGAAGAGCTATTAAATTGTGGTACTTGGTATGATGAAGGTTGGAAATCATTTATTTATATAATTCTCTTTCTCCCTTTATGATATTCTTTGTTTTCTCTTATTTATTTCTTTTTTCTGAACCCTTTATTCCTTCTTTCCATTCTATTTTCTTTCTCTCAGTTTAGTTTTATTATTTTGTAATTAAAATTTTGAAAAAGAATTATATTAAAAATATATTGCAAAATTTATCTTAGAATCCCATGAAGTCAAGATTACAATGAATTTCAGTGATTTTGTTAACAATATGGTGCTTGGTGGAAATGCCTATCATATACAGTAGATGGGAAAAATGATGGAGGCAGTGTGTCACCACTATTCCCATCTATATTAGGAAATGGTCTGGCAATGATAAAAGAGTCAATATAAAGTCTTCCGTATTTAGATCACACTTCAATTTCTAAAGGAAAGAACAGGAGTGTTTCCATCTGATTGTCTGGGGGTAGATATTTAGACAAGACCACGGTTGTCATAGAAACCTATAAGATCCTGAAGTTCTGGAAATAGATGCCTCTGAGCACAAGTATGTGAAGTAAATTGGTCTAGGTAGGAGCTTCAGGAGAAATTCATCCTCAAGCAGAACACCCAATGTGCTGTTAATTCCTATTGCTCAGGGGGTTGCGGTGGCTCATGTGGTAAAAACGCTGGGCTTGCGTACCGCTGAGGTCGGCAGCTCAGTGGTTCAATTCCCGTGAGCGAACGAATGCCTATTGGCATTCAGGCGTCCCATAGGTAAAAATAACACCACCTGAAAAAATTCCTTTCAGAGAGGCAGCCAGCTGCCTCGGTGATTCCTGGCTAACACGTGCCATACGATAGATAGATAGATAAATAAATAAATAAATCCTGTTGCTCAACTTAATGCAGAAGCATTCATAGTCTGTAGCTCCTGGTACAGAGATCCTAACCATAGGTACACTATTTTTTTTTACTACACATTGTTTCCTATAGTTATAACTATTTTCCTCCCTTTTCATGAAGTTGAAACCATTGAAAAACCTGACACCTTGAATCATCACAAATGCTGCAACTCCTCATCTAACCTTATTTCATTAATGCATGCCAGGTCCCAATGTGGCCTTAATTGCAATATCAGAAGAACAAAAAACATCCCATTCCTCTGTTGGAATGTAATCATCATTCATAATTTGTCTGCTTGTTCAAGAGAATAGACTGTTCTTATTTCTTCCCATATCTTGGAGCATTGGTATTGCCACCAAATCAAGTGTTATTTCTTAAGATAGTGAACCAACATTTGAACTGCGGGCTTTATGGTTGATTAATCAAATAAATAAGGCTTGCCATATAAAAGGAATTTAATGTGAAGAAAACAATTCAGTTCCTCTCATCTGATCTATCAATTAAGTGGAAACCTAATTAATCTCAATTAAAGATACTAATAAAGACCTATTTGAAACTCACATAAGGTTGTATTTGAAATAAAGTTAATGAAAAAACTCCACGCTTAAGAATGTAAAATAAAATTGGAAAATCCCCATTTTTATTTTTAATTGGATGACAATGATTATTATTATTCCACTTAATTAATTAATTAATTAATTTTAATCTGCATCCCACCTTTATTAGGCTGCTGCATACAAACATTTAAGAAATCAATCCCTTTTACAAAGTACATAATACCAAACTACACTCTCAACGTTTTTCTGATGAATGGATTCTAATGTTAATTCATTATCCTTATATAATATGTTTCCATACTATCAGTAGAAGAATTTACTTTTCCAGCATCTTTGTGAAAAATATTAATTCCTTTTCAGACTTTCTGAAATTTTGCATATTATTATTTAATTTTCAGGTACACTTAAGTGTAGCCTTCCAAACCAAGGTGACTTCCAGATATGTGGACTTCAGTTCCCAGAAAATTTAAGAGAATGCTGGCTGAGAGTTTTGGAAATTGAAATCTCTGCATCAGGAGGGTTCTTACTAAATGAGAGGCCAATGCCAGGAGTGAGTAATTAATTAGAATTATAGTAATAAGGTGATAAAAGTGATATTTGTTTTGTTTCATATGTTTAAATTTGTAATATTTTTTAAACACATGCAATATATAGGATAAGGATTGTATTCATCACTGCTTCTCATCCAGTCTCACCCAGTCTCACCCAGTATGGGGCAAGAAATATTTCAGAAAGGAATCATGGTCTCTGATGCTGTGCTGAAATCTGTTCTTCAGCTTCCTGAAAATCTGAAAAATAAATTTCTGGTTTTTTACCTTATTCTGAGGTGAGTCAAAGAAAGTGCTGCCTTTTTTTATCTATTGGGTATCCATCACTTTGCACACTCATATCTGTAATGTATAAACTGTGCAATAAAATGCACGTTCGCAATATGTGCAAAAGTATACTGTTTTCTTGATGCTGTTTTTCCCAAGAAGTTCAGATGAATGATTACCCCAATCCTGCCCCATATCCTTTTTTCCCACCCAACCCTCCCTCCCATTATAAGCATCTTAGAAGTTGAATGGTACACTATTACTAACCCAACTTCACTCCTTAAAATGAAATGATATTATGGGCAAATTATGAGGAAAGCAAAAATCTGAGAAGAATGCATATTGTATATAGAATATACTAGGGCTGGAATAATCCCTCTATGAATAAGAGCCAGTTTAGCCTAACGGTTCCTTCACAATTTGTTAATTCCTTCACAATTTAACATACAATTTCACAATGTATTAGAGATCATACGTGTTTATGGTTAATGATTTAAATAAAATTTACTCTTGTTATGATACCATTGAAGTATTCTGATAGTTTATTGTGTTAACTGTTCTGTTTCAAACAAGCTTATATCTACCATATATACCAGCCACCAGAAGCCATGTTTTGGAAGCTATGCTAAAGGATTTGGAAAAGATTAAAGTCAGCCCTGAGGTAACTTAAAATAGAAATGAATACAAATGTCCGCATAACCAAAAGTCCAATATGTTAGTACTATTTTAACTATGGAGATTATCAGTCATCCAACTCATTGTTCTTCCAAAAGTACATTTTTATTCCATTCTCTACCATTCAGTCAGAATTGAAAAAGCTTTTTGGATGAAAAGTGAAACATTTTCAAAGGAAGTTGCCCTTTGAAAAAATACCTTTGGGTTATTTCCTGACAATATTTGAGTGCATCTGTCATGACTAATTTTAGTTTTTTCACCTTTCTATATTATATTCTCTCAAGACATTTTAAACTTTAAAGCATTTATAATTCTGAAAATATGTACCAAAGAATACTTTTCTCAAAATCATGTTTAAACTTTGATTCTACAAGTATTGTAAGGCAGATTTGTTGAAACGAAAACCCTTAGCCTTCTCCTATGTACATTGTTTGGAAAAATTGGATTTTACTTTTAATTTCAACAGTTTCCAAATCGTATGTTTAGATGCTTAATGTTCTTAAGATGCAGAGCAATTTTTAAATGATTTTTAATGTCACGTTTTGAGGGAAAACATGCTTTAAAACTGCTGATTACCTAACAATTTTCTTTTTTCTTAGATCGATGCCTATTTATATACTGCAGATTTAAATTACCCTGTGAGTATGTTTTATTTTTCTGAAACTGGAATAGTTCTTAAAATACTGTATATTGTAGACAGTTTAAAATCTGCAATTCACCAACCTTTTAGTACAGCTAAAGAGAGTTCTAGATATAGTAGTATTTTATCATATTTCACTGTTTATGGAATACAGCAGTATTCTAGGATAGCGGCCCCAACCTTTTGGGCAGGAAGGTCCAACTGGTTCTGTGGAGAGAAATTTTTCCCCAGACCAGAGGGGGGGTGGTTTCATGTGCTGTCTGCATCCTGCGGATGAGGCTTTGGTTGTTTGCGCAGCCCAGTTTCTGGCATGCCCCGGACTGGTGCTGATCCACTGACCGGGGGTTGGGGATCTAAGAGATATTCTTTGAAAGTGTTCTGAAACTTGGTCTATGATGTGAGAATCAGATTACTAACTAGAAGTGTCTTTCAAGAGCCTGTTGCTTACTTGTTGAAACCACTGTATTGATTGGTTTATGGTCCTAATTTTTCTGTGTATATCTGCCAGCCTGTTTAGATTATTTTCATAAGCAATTTTGTCTATCTCAGTTATAAGAGAAATGGCTCTAGTTGGAACTATATATATATAGTATATACATATACATATACATATATATATATTCTTAAGTTTTCGCGGGTACTTACATGTATGGCATTCAGCTTTGTTCGGGTATTTTCCCACGTCATAGTAGTTGTGCTTTTAAAGTTGTAGCGACGTTTCGGCAGAATCTCATCTGCCATCATCAGGCTTCTGTATAGTGTTCATCTGTGAGTCAGGCTTTTACAGTGGTTTCAGATTTGAATTTGGGGCAGCCTATTGCTGTGCCAGAATGGTTTTTTCTTCATCCTGATTGGTTGAGAGTCTTGGTCTGTGTTTATTGGTCTTGGAGTTTGCTGTGTTCTGCTTGATTGGTGTTTCTAATATCTTCTGTCTGTTTTTTGGCTCTTTTTGTATGTTGATTGGCTGGCAACATTGTGTTACTTTATTGGAGGCCTTTAGTGCAGCTTGGCTCCGGGTAAATGGACGGCTATCATTAGTTAGGAAGCTAGGTTTCATCTGGGTGCCTGGTTGGGGTGTGTTTGAGCTGGAGGTATCAGGGGGGATCTGTTTGTGCCCAGGTGTTTGCCTGGCTTGTGGTGTGGAGATTTTTTTGTTTGTGAGTGCAGGCTTCCAAATGATTGACAGTCTGGTGGAATCATCTCTTCTGTTCATGCTTTCTGGTCTTTTTTCAATCTCTATGGCTTCTCTGATGATTCTGTGGCTGGGGTTTTCTATAGTGGCTAGGGTTTTGGTGCCATTGAAGTTGATGCTATGACCTGTGGCTTCCATGTGTTGGACTAGTGAGGAAGTGTGTTCCAGCTTTTTGACTGCATTTTTGTGTTCATCCAGGCGGGTACTTATTCTTCTATTGGTCTGTCCAATGTATGTGGCCGGGCATGATGCACAGGGGACTTCGTATATGCCTTGGTTTTCCAGGTCAATTTTATCTTTGGGGTTTCTGAGAATGGCTGCTATTTTTCTGCCTGTTTTGAAGGCAGTCTTGATGTGGTGTCTGTGTAGTATCTTACTAATTTTGTCTGTAGTGCCTCTTATGTAGGGCAGAACAGCTGTTCCATAGGTCTGTTCATCTTCTGGGTCTCTATTATGTCTCAGTGTGTTTTTGTGGATCAAGCCGGTGATTTTGCTTTTGTGGAA